GGAATTATACAAAACTGGCACTGTAGTCCCTTTGTTCTATTAACTACCGTCTCTCTCCTCCAGAAGGAGGAAACTTAAACCCAGGAATAGAAAATAGCTGAGTAATGATTCTACTCAACACACTTCTCCAGACATCAGATTGTTTAGTCCTACCTTAGGGTGGGAAATCCCACTGATCTTTCTTTCTCCACTAATAACCTATATCAAACATTATGTTGCATCACTTCTCATTCACTAGCAAGAGGGGCATTGTAGAAGAACCTTCCAACAATGCTATGAGCAACATGATTAACATCTGTCACACATTACTTTTCCAGCCTATGCCTCTCCCTAAGGAGAAGAAAGTTTATAGCTCCATCATGTTGAGAAATTTAGATCACACATTCAAGTTTTTTTTATTTGTTTTTCTGAGAAAAAAAAAAAAAGCCAAGATCAAAGACAGCTATTATGGAAGATGCTGGCATAAATATATCCTTTTTAGTCACAGCAAACTTTGCCTGATTTGAACCATCCACTAAGCATATTATTGCCTACCCTCAATGGAGGCCATTCCAAACACCTGAGAAGAAATGCTGCTGATCAACTCAAGACCACTGACTCACTTGACCTAAATTCAATCTTCTCCAGGACTATAATTAGGAGCTGAATACTCTTCCTTCATATCCATAGTAAGCCACTGTTGCACTGAAGCATTTATAAAGGACTTTTCAATTTCAGTAGCTAATAAGTTCTTGGCTTGACAAAGGTGTGGGTGACTGAGGATTGATTGTCATTCATCCAAACTGTACAGAGTCTTCAAGAAGCCCAGCCTTTCAGCAAAGCAGATGTTTCATATGATGTTAATTAACATGCTATGGAAGATTTTTATCATCTGGGAATCAAAGAAATATTCTCGCCTTTCAGACTAAAGGGACAAATTTTGGATGGCAACTCTCAACCAAAGAAAAAAAATGAACTTTTAAAGCCACAGCTATTCATTAGCCTAAGTTCTTCCACCTTGCTCAGTTTTAGCAACCGTTCCTCAGCCATCACTCTTCCCCATCAAGCATCAGGCTACCATTAGCTGTGCAGACATACAGGACAAAATACATTTCTGCCACTTATCTTCATGGCTTCCAGAACAAGAAATGCACTAGTCTGCAAAAACGCACATTTTCACCAGTTTCATACAAATACCCTGGGAGTTAATCACTGTGGCTTGCACGGTTTTTTCAATATAAAACCAACACGGCTAAAATAGCACAGAAAATGGCATAGTTACTACTTTACATCACCTACTTTCTACAAGCACATTTAAGTTTAGACATCTTTGGAGTGCATTCAGTTAAAACTGGGGGGATAAACAGTTGGTTCTATGAGCACTGGAACTATGAATGCTCACCTCCTTACACACTATGTCTCATGGGTTACGGAGTCCTCCAAGTCCTAGCTGGGGTACATACCAACTCTGCTCCTTGCATCTGCTTACAAGGTCTCTCTTTTCCAGCCAGCTGTCCATTTTCATGCACTCTGTAAATGCATAATCATTGTTAGGACTTCTATAACTTCCATTAAATTGGGTAGAAACTTGCCAGCACGCTCAGAAATTGTTGACTGTGTCTGAAATTTGGCTAAAGAATCATCACTTACATCTCAGTCTCATTTTGCAATGCACTCCAGTGTGTTGCATAGATGAATAGCGACAAACAGCTTCAGTGCCCAACAACGAGGTTACTTTTAAGCAATACAGTTCTTTGCTTCTGCTGGCAGCTCACACCTTTGCGCTAAGCTTGGCAACCTACTCAGTGATTTGATGACTCTGGTAAATCAGTTTCTTAACTGACAATTTGTTATAACTTAGGAATTTAGATACATGTGGAAAAAATAGAGACTAAGTGTATTTGGAAGAAGAAAACATACTATGGAAAACTGCTAGACTTCAACACTGAGCTAACACTATTGGGACTGTTGACACTTCCACCCCTCCATCAGGATGAAATTCATCAAAAATCCAAAACCTTATGATCATGAAAATTTGAATGTGTTTGTCAGTTTAAAGCTTGACATTTAAAATCGCCAGATTTTATCGACTGATCAAAAAAATCTTTATTTATACTGTGAAAAGGCCACTATAAATATAACCGACTCGATGTTTTGGCCACTGTAGTAATTTGTCCCCATCTTCATTACTGCATTGAACTGTATGTGACAACAGATCTCACCTGCTGTAATGTACATCTAATGCTCCTAGTAGTCCTTAGTTTCCGTTTGTCTACAAAAACCCTCAAATTATACGCTTATAAAAACTTATGTTTTCAGTATTTGAAACATCAGAGCAAAAAACCTTTCATTGATAACAGTGCATACTTGCAAGACATGATTTGCAACAAGAACATTACTGAAACCAATTAATGTACATCTCCAGCTGTGACAATTAGCCCTGATTTCATGGGGTAACGGCAAGTAACCAGCCAGTACTATTGGTCTGACACATTCTTTCTACCTTTTGACACTGACTCAGAAAGTCTCAGAATTCAAAAGCGTCATTTCAATCTTCTCTCTCAAAAATACTTCCACCCAATGTCTGAAGATCTTAAAACCAAACTTTTTTCTATTTTAAATATCTCTATTGTCTTTTCTCTTGCCCACATCCATTTAGCAGTCCCTCAAAAGCTAAGTCCCTGCTCTGTGATGTCATATTTATTCACATCCTTTCAGGATGGGAGAATCAGAAGTGTAGATGCTATCACAGATGGCTTCTGTAAAAGCATACAATTTTTTCTTTAAACTGTTCCAATGAAAACTTTCCTGTTTGCATCTAAAATAAAACAACAGGTTCATAGCAGTGTCTCTCAATCCTTGTAACTAGGAACCAACTTTAGAAATAGCCACAACGGCAACTCTGAGTAAAGACCTTAAAGACAAATTCCCAAGACATGACACGAGCCAGTATTTACAGTGAATCATCATGCATAGAAACTCACACTAATGAATTCAGATGGAGAAGTAGGACAGAAGAGGCAGAGAAGGCAGCAGTGTGTCTCAGCTATAAAAAATTTGGAGCCCAAATGCCCTAAAGCAGCAAGTTATCTTTGAGTTTTCTCATAATAGCATTTCTCCCTGCTGAATTCAAGTATCAGCACACATTAAACACCAGACCTATCCAGATCTCAAACCCATCCAAATGTGATGAAATCTTAGGAGTTCTATTCCCAACCATCCTCACTCACAGCTCACAAACGCAGAGACATATTATTAAAAAACAACAGCAACCTACAGAGATTTTCTTTCTCCATCTTCTCGGTCATTTATGAAGCGTTTTGTTCTCTGGAATGTTTGATAATTAACAGATGTGAAATAACACCAAGTTTTTATTTCTTCCCCCAAAGCTTTCTTTCCACAACCTTTTCTCCTCAGTCCACACAGCTCAAACTTCAACCAAGTCCATAACCTTGGTACAGCTTCAGCACATCAGTGTTTCACCGTGCCCAGCCAAAATCCAACCTGCTTCCACTTAAGCCAAAGAAGCATTTTTGAAGAACTTTTTGAACAGGTTTTGCTTCTGTTGCTATGCCCCTCAAGTGGCAGAGCTTTTTCTACTGCATCCAGCACCAATAGCTGAGGAAAAACTACACAAGTGTTGCAGTCAAGACCTTGGAAAGCAACGTAACTGAAACGTGACAGCACTAGCATTGGCCCTGGAGCCTCATGGATCCCACAACCAAACAATTCTGCCTGCCGTACACCACGCATCTTATGTGATTGGAAAAAGATTCTGCACTATCAAGTTTAGATAGAAAAATCAAGTACATTTTTGGTGTTTTTACTGTCAACATCCCAGTGGTTCACGGTAAGAACTTTTCACAGAAATAATGATATTAAAAATCCTGACAAACAGCAACTTCATATCTTACATTGCAGCACTGTTAAGGCAGGAGAGCATCGCTTGTTCTTTATTTAATTAACGTGCATTCGGATTACAACCAGCTCTCGCTGTTTCGATAGCCAAAGTCATCACTTCACAACAGGACAGCACAGGGACAAGAGGAGAAGGGGCTGCACATCACCAGTTAGGCACAACACCATTCACACGACCGAATTTTAGCTCTTAAAATAATCCCAAAACTTCAAGGCAAAACACGTGCAGTACAAAGGATTAAAAGGAGATACGTAGAAGCCACACTTACTTCGGGAAGAGGAGAAAACGCGCTAAGAAAACGAGACGTATTACCCCTGGAAAGCGTCTTTTCCCGTATTTGCATAGAAAATCAAAGCAGGGGACAGACGGAGCGCCGGGTGCCGAGCAGTCTGCATGCAGCCGCCCGCCCACCTGCACCCGGAGCGCTCCTCGCGCGACTGCAAACGCTGGGAAATGATTAAATTTCACCGAGCTCCACGCTACCTGCGCTGGCATTTCCTGTTCCAAACACTCCGAAAACACCCCAACCGAGTTCGCTGACGGGCGTGTGACTGCCGCGTTAAACATTAACTTCTGGCCCCCAGCGAGACAACCCCCGAGCTCGCCCCGTCCCGCACGCAGTCCGCGCACTCCTCGGAGCCGAGCACCGCCGTGCCGGCCTACCGCCGCTTACACAACCCGCTCCGCGGCGGCGGCCCCGGGAGGCGCTCAGCCGCGGCACCGCGCCGCGCACCGAGGAGACGGCGGTTACCCGCTCCCCAAAGGCTCCGCGCGGGACGGCGCCGCGGCCGCCCCCCGCCCCGCCCTCGGGCGAAGCAGCCCCCGCGCATCCCGCCCCATCCCGGCTGGGGGGGCTCCTCACACCCCGCTCCCAGCTCGGACCCGCCGGGGCGCCTCGCCTCGCCTCGCCTCACCTCCCGTCTCCGGCGGCGCCCGCTCGCGGCTCGCTCTCTCGCCCCCTCCCGGCGGAGACTCCAGCCGCGGTCCCGCCCTCACGGCAACTTCTGCTGCTGCTCCCCCCCCCCGCCGCAGCCGCCTCCTCCTCCGTCTCCCCGCGTCTCGCCTTCTGGGGCGGCGCGTGCGCGTGCGCCCACCCCGCCTCGAGCCGCCTCCGCCCAGCTCGGCAGCGCGCATGCGCGGCGGGACGGCGCCGTGGCCGGGACGGACGGGATCTCGCCGCGCGTGCCCGGCGCCAGGAAGAGGGAGGAGGGAGAAGGGGAGCGGGCAGCGCCCGGCTGCGATCGGAAGGCAGGCCGGGCGGTGACGGGGCCCGGCGCGACGCCTCGGTCGGCGTGCCGCGCTCAGAGCGCGTGCGCAGTAGGCGCGGTGCTGCCCGCACCTTCGCGTCGGCGGGGTCCTCGTGGGGTCGCGCTTCTCGCTTCGCGCCTCGCGCTTCCCGCCCGCTAGCACGAGGTGGGCGCGCGGCCGGCCCTGAGCGCTGCCGCGCGCTGAGGAGAGCGGAGATGGGGCTGAGGCTGCCGGGCGGCCCGCCGTGCCGGGCGGCCGGGGCGGCGTGAAGCTGAGGGGTTACAGCACCCCTTCCTTACCCCTCTCTTAGTGTCGTTCTCGGCGCATCGCCTGTGTGCGAGGGGCGCGGTTACCCGGTGTGTGCAAGCAGCGCGGCCGTGCCCCAGGTAACTGTGAGGGAGCGGCTCTCGGAGCTGTCGGGCTGCGGGCCGGGAAGCCTGCGTTGGGGCTGTTCCAAACCACCGGTTTTTCGTGTTAACAGCCTGTTAAAAAGAGCGGGGCAGCGGTTGCTTTTCCAGCAATTGTCCCTCGGCGCTCCTCGCAGGATATCTGCCCGCGCACGTGGGCTCTGCTGGAGGCGCCTGTGAGGTGACGCGGGCGCAGGGCTGCTGCTGGGGTGAGGGCGGCCGTGCAGGCTGACCCCGAGGCGTCCGTCCCTGCGCTGCATCGCCTCTCGGTGCCGCGTTGCTCTCTCGGACGCTGTGCTGTTTCACTTAAAGAGCTGCCCTCGGGTCATTGCCGCCCCAAAGTCGCGTTCCCGTTATTTTATCTGCTGTATTATTTTGGGGAGGGAGGGGTGCTTCCTTTTGTTATTTTCAGAAGGAATTACTTGTTTGTGAATACTTGCATTTCTAGTTGCTTGAGTGCTTGTGGTGGTTTGCTCTTATCGTCATCGTCCTGGATAATAAGCGTGTGGATTTCATCAACGCGTTTCGCTTCTCCACTCATGATGATACTTTAACTATTGCTGTGCCCGGGGTCAGTCTTTAGCACACGACTTCTTACATTCCTGCTTTTCCAGTTGCCTTTTTTAATGATTTTTCAGGGCTTGAAGAGTGCTTATGTGACACAATGTGTGGTCACTTTCACTATGAAGTCTTCTGCCACAGTAAAGTTTACTGCCCTCACCGTTATATCTCCAGATTGCAACATTTCACTCTTAAAAGACTGTGTGGGACTCAAGGTCCTGTGTCAGATACCTCACTGCCTTACGGAGATACCATACGTTAGATAAACTGTTATCCACATTCATAAAATTCAGTTTTAATACCTTTTGATCAGCCTGATGTTGCTGATGTCTTTTCCATTCTGCTGCCTGTGTAAAAGGCTTGCTGGTAAAGGCAGTTTCCTCAATGTCACTCTCCAACCTTTATGATCAAGGAGACAACTTTTTACTTTAAAAAAGAAAACAAAAAACCATGATGCACTGAGAAAAATTTCAGTTAAGCTGTCCAGACTTTATGTTTTTATACCCATCTCCACCCTTTTCTGTGATTTGAATAGTCATATTCTCAAGTGGAAGAGCTTTAATACAAGATTAATAAAAAACTTCTTTCTTGTGACTTTCAGATGTTTTGGATGGTAATTGGCACCTGTAAAAAGTATCTGTTTAAGAGTGTATGTATTTTTGACAGAAAATAATGCGGTACATTTCCTGAATTTTGTGGTTTTTGAAGGGAATAGATTATCTGATTCTCCCACTGTCCTTGGGTTCATCCAGTATCTTGGCACAGGCCCCATGTTCTTATGTCGTTTATGTAGTACTGTGTTAGCTGCTTACTGATAGGTATTTGAATTCCTAGTTTTCGCTAGAAATTTTGAAGTGAAGACATGTTAAAGTCAGCATGTTAACTTTACCACCAAAAAGTCCAATTTCATGTCAGAACATTTTGTTCTGGTGTATTCATAAAAAACCTTCTGCATATCATTTTGCTTAGAGTCGATTTAGTCTTTGATCCCTGCATTACTTCTTCGCAAAGGCAGTCATGCAGAAGCATCTGTGAATCCCAAAGTAGGATTATGACTTCATTGTGATTATGACCTCATTTTGATATTTTTGCTTCTCCTGTATGCTACTTTCTTGTTTGCCTTTGCCCTTTCCTCAGCACAGATTTGTTTTTCCTTGCTGATCTATTTAGAAGTCCCTTTGGACATACGCTGGTTTCTTCTGTTCTTTTTTTTTTTTTTTTTCAGAGGAAGTGTAGTCTGTGAGCTCTAATTATGGTATATTTTAAGGTTTTCTACCAGGGAATCTTAAGAGAGTCTTCCATGCAGTTCAGATGGATAATGACACAGGTGTGGCACAGGAAGCCCTAAATGAACTAAAAGAAGAATTTTAAAATTAGAGTAAGTGATGCAAATGCAAAACAATGCTGCAAGGGCAAATTATTTCCTCTTGTAGTACAGGATATGTGCTATGCATGATGCAGGGATGCAGAAGAATGTTTACATGTTTTTAGTTCTGATGTTTATGTAAAGTTTGATAGTATTAACAACATAGGTTGTAAAACCAGAGAACTGACTGGAGAGTTAAAAAAGTGTTATGCTTAGAGGAAAGGGATCCAGAATAAAGTAAAAAAGGTATTCACTGTTCTACTTAGGAATCCAGCCATTCAATTTATCTCCAGGCTGCGTGACGAACATTAAGATTTTCAAAAGGGAGGAAGAATGATGTGGTGGAGTGGATGGTGATGGGGATGTGGTTGAGAGTGACAGATGGACCCTGTCCAGATCCTTCAGCACATCCAAGGGCTTGGCTATGTGTATCTCCAATCCAGGACAAAATATACGTAGGGGAAGTTTGAAAGAAAAAACTTAGTATAGTTAGGAGGCATCCAAAGGTTTTAAAGTAGTTGCATTAATTAACTTTTTCTCAAAACTGCAGGCACTGTACTTCTTTTTCAGTGATGAATGAGATGGAAATCTGTGTTTCAATCTGTGTTTCACAGCTGCATATGACAAGGTTTATTCATGTGTTATGTTTTTACATTGTGATTCATAGTGCTGTTGCCACTGGCCAATCTGTAAATAAATTCAGATTTCTTCATCTCAAATAGCTTTCTTGAGTCATGTATTTTGATATGCATTGTTTCTATGAACATTTTCAGATCTGTGGCTGTCCCAGAACATTCGTTCTCAATTTGCTTTTATATTTCTTCTTTAACACTTGGAACGTCTTTACAACAATCTTTTCAAAGTTACTATCCTCTTCAGATGATTTATAAAGAAATGATATCTGCTTTAACTTTCCTTGAAGGAGTAGAAGACTGAATTTGTTGTTTTTAAAAAGTGAGTTAAGTATATTTTATTGAGTAGCTCACATGTTTGTTATTGTTACTCTTGCTCTTCTGGACCAATATAACTCACCATTACACATTATATTGCCTAGTATGGTCCAGTCTGTTTAACCAGACTGTCAAAGAATTTTATGTGCTCAAGTATTTGAAGACCCTTTAATGTAAAAATACATTTAATTCCATGGTTGGGAACTGCCATTGTTTTTTTGTAAGTAATGACTGAGTACTTAAAGAGACTGTCTGAGGCTGTGCAACTGTTCAGAAGAAGAATGGAGAATATTGTTCTTCTAGAGGAACCTGCAGTAAGGAGGAGGTCAAGGAAACGGTGCCCTATTCTGCACAGGCAGTAGCGGGGTAATGTTTGACTTAAGATTCTTTATTGCTAGACTAATTATGAATGCCTAATTTTCTATTTTCTCTAAGCCTTTGGGGTATCATCAGATCAAGTCTATACTTTTTGCCAAGGGATGAGAAAAAACCGTAAACATTCCAAGACTTTATAATACTGCAAGAGTTCACTGCAATAAGAAGAACAGATTGGTAGGAAGAAGAGCTATAAGGGAATAAAGTAACCAGAGGAAAGAAAATAGTATTTTTGTTACTTAAAACATCATAATCATATATGCATATGATTTCTAGGGATGCAGAAAGGACATCTTGACACTTTAGTCCAAGACCTGTTCTGTTTGTTTTGCTTAGCTGTATTATGACAAAGAGATCAAACACAGAAGTAGAGCAAGTAAAAAATCTCTCTTAAGCTTTCAGGAAGATAAGTAAGCACACATTCTTTTGTGGGTCATTTTACCTAGGTGTATTCTTTGTGTTTCCCTTACCATGAGCACATGTATCCACAACCTTTTCTTTTAAATGCACTCTAGCAAAGTTTTCCTTTAAGTAGCTTGTAGCAAGCAGTCACATGAAATATAGTCATCTGATTGCTCTCTTCTTGTTCCCACATCCTGTATAGAGGCTAAAATTTATACACACATCCAGATCCATTTTCTTCTTCCAGATGGGCTAGTGGAGCATTTCTTTAAAGACTCTCTCAGGCAGACAGGTGATGCTCAGTCAGCTGGTTTCCCACTCCTTTTTTTGGTCTCTCTGAAATGCTATTTTTAAATAGCATTTTACTAGCCTTTCTGACTGTATTTCTGCTTACGTGCTGCAGCCCTGCTCCACACATACAGAGAAAGCATGAAGTAAGGGCAAAACCTACAGAGTTAAGGACACAATGAGCAGAAGTATAATTGAAGAAAAAGACTAACAGAGGAAAATATGAAATGGTGACGACAAAAGTAAAAGTGCAAAAGAATAATGAGACGGGGGTTAATATCAGCAGTAACAAGAAGGGTAGAAAATATTAGGACATTAGAAGACATGAATGAATGGAAAAACTTGACCACTTCTTGAACTAGCAGTAGGCACACCTTCATAGGGCATAAACACACAAACTTGTAAGTTCTCTTCCTTTAGGTGCAGGAGCAAACACAATGTATTTTGTTCTTACACACTGTATGTTATCCTGACCGTTCCCAGTAGTTTTTCAAGTGCTAAAATGTTCAATAGGCTGATGGAAGCAATTTCACTCTGAAGTCATGCAGAGTTTCTTACTGAGAGTGAAAAAACACTGGTTTCCATTCTCCTCCAGACCTATTGATGGTGATAGGAGAGAAACAAGATCTGTGTGTGCACGATTATGTTCATTCTTTAGGATTGAGGGAAAGAGTGGAGATTGCATAAATCTTGCAAATGAATAATTTTTTGCTTGGATAATCCAGTTTCCAGTCCAATAATCTACCTTTTTGGAATGACAATGCAATGAAAATCCTCTCCTATTTTAAGCTGTGACGTTTAAAATCCTTGAACAGCAACAGTATGAGAATCTTCTATGCATGCTGTACATATCAGGCCCTTTTTATGAGACTGTGTCCTCATCTGACTGCTACAGCAAACAAAGTTTTAATGACAGTCTTTGTCTCACATGAGTCTTGCGCAATCCTTTTAAGTTTGCATGTCTGGTTCATTGTTTTCTTCTAGGGTATAAGCCAATGAGAATGGATGCGTCTGTAACAGGAAAAGGAAAGACTGAA